CCCCCCCCGCCTGCCATTCTGCTGCCTGAGCCTTGCAGTGCCTCCCCGTTCAGTAGCCTGCCTTCCTAATTAGCACTGGTTCTGCTGAGATATTTACCTTTCTGTGCTGGATTCCTGTGGTTTCCAAAGAATTCAGGTGCTCGCTTTGAGCCAAGGAATTCACATTACCTCACAGGCTGTGCTTAGGCCACAGCTGGTCACATCCTGTGCAGTAACCCCTGCCTGGCAGACCTCTGCTTGTTAGGGAGCACAACTCACTGCTGCATGGGCACCTGGGATCAGACTACAACCACTTTGGTAGATGTTGCCTCACACAGAAGCTGTGGAGCAGTGTTTTTCACTAGACATCCCCACTGGACTTTGGACTAGTGGATAGCGCATCAAGCCAGGAGACTCCCTGATGCTTTCTTGCTTTTTAATTAAGATAAGCAAGGTTTGAATCACTGAGGGGAAAGATCTATCTGTCTGTCTATCTATATAAGCCTTTTAATAGAAATTTACTGTCTATACAGACACCTGTCACCTGATTTTTGACTGTGTTTTTTAGCTTGAATTTTCTTCTCTAAAATGGGATAGTTGGACCTCAGGCTGCTACTGTTTTAGAGTTGTAAGGAAGCCTACTATGTATTTTTTTTCATATATGTAATACAAATATTTTTTTATGTTTTTTACTACATATATTTAAGTCATGACCTAGTGATGCCCTTTGTTAAATCTAATTCCCAAGGCAGGTAGCTAGACACTTGTCTGTGGTATATGATGTGGCCCTTAATTAGAGTCCTTGGACAAGAGTTTCAACAGTCAAGTCTTGTTGAGCTTCATCAAAACTGCTCTTTTGGTTGAAAGAGCTATTTAAAAAAAGAGGTGGAAAAACATCTCCTTGAGCAATATATGTATATCTTGCAGTGATGTAGTTATAATAATGACATAGCATATTGCTCTTCTGCAGTAAAAAGAAGTGTGTCTCACTGGCTTCAGCAACCTGTCTTTTTGATGGCATATTTTAGGAAATTCTGAAGGAAAGATAGCTAAATACTAACTAGCAAATTAATTTTTGATCTCTTCTATAGAGTCCTCCTCATCTTTCATGTTCCTCAAATTATTCCCCACCGCCCACCCTTCCCAGTCCTTTATGTCTGTCTTTGGGTAGCAGAGGGTGGTCTGCAGGCATAGCAAGTCTCTGGGTAAAATTATATGACCCTACTGTTGCACTTAACACGCAGGAACAGCATACTAATGAATCAGAGAGGCTGGGCAACTCTTGGTGACAGTGTGCAAGATGAGAAACTAGAGGATATGAGAAACAGAAGACATTCACTGAGTCGTAGAGTGGCTGAGGTTGGAAGGGACCTCTGGAGATCATCTGGTCCAACACCCTTCTCAAGCAGGGCCACCTAGAGCTGATTGCCCAGGACCATGTCCAGATGGCTTTTGAATATCTCCAAGGAGGGAGAGTTTACAACTCCTCTGGGCAACCTGTGTGAGTGCTAGGTCACACGCATGATGTTTCTTTATGTTCCATAGGTTCAAAGTCCTGGTAACAGCAGTGCATAAGTTGAAAACTTGCAAATTTGTTATGAAAAGATAAAGGAAAATAAGTCTTTTTTTCCTGTCCCTGCAGACATCTGGTAAAACTGCTTCTGGATCTTGTTCTTTAACATAGAACTGTTTGAATAATTTTATCCAGCTTTGGTTAGATACTCTGCCATCATAGACATGTTACCAAAACTCCTTTTTATGTTCAGTAGTTCCCTTACAGGCTTTGGCTCTGTCGTGATTTAGCCCAGCCTGCAGCTAAGCTACCACACGGCTGCTCACTCAGTCCTCCCCACCTCCCTTTGGTGGGGTGGAGAGCAGAAAAGTGGAACAAAAGGCTTGAGAATCGAGATAAGAACAGGGAGGGATCACCCACCAACCATGGCCACAGGCAAAACAGACTCAGCTAGGGGACAGATTTAATTCCTTGCCAGCTCATTCAGAGAGGATAATGAGAAACAAAGCCAGATCTTAAATACACCTTCCCCCACTCCCTCCCTTCTTCCTGGCTCTTCCTCTTCCCCTCAGCAGTGCAGGCGGATGGGGAATGGGGGTTGCAGGTCAGTTCATCCTTTTCAGCGGAAGGACTCCTTACCGTCTTCCCGTGCTCCTCCCAGAGGAAACAGTTCTCCACAAACTTCTCTGAGTCCTTCCTGTAGAATCCAGTCCTTGCCCATCAGGCTCTTCCAGCACAAGCTTTTCCCATGGAGTCACAGATTCTTAGCATGCAGCCACCTGCCCTGGCGTAGGGTTGCTTCCCATGGACTGCAGATGCATCTCTGCTCCATTGTTGATCTCCAGCACCATGGGATCCTTTCTCCCAGGAGACAGTCCTCTGTGAACTCCTTTGGGTGGAGGCATCTCTGCTTCGACCTGGGGTCCTCCACGGCTGCAGGTGGGTCTCTGCTCCACCATTAATCCCCATGGGCGGCAGAGAGGCCACCTACCATCTCACCACAGGC